CCCTAACAGCACAAAGTCAACTCTAAGTCGACTTTGAGTCGACATTAGCGGCTGGACGTCTGGAAAATGGACGTCTATAAGTCGACTTTAGACGACTTAGAGACATCTTTAAGTCATCCAATGTCCCACTTTGAAGACGACTGTAAGCCGACTTCAGTCAACCATCATACAGACATTTTATGAGCAATATTGCGCATGCGCATCTTGTAATGGCGGGAATATTTAAATTAGGAAAATGGATTTTGTTTTTCCTAATGATGTTTTCCCTTGGGACTGCACTCATGCCACAGTATCTTTATAAAAATAATGTTAAAATCTCTATTGCCTGATCCGTGCAAATAATTTTAACATTGTATTATAAAAATACTATGCAAGTGCAGTCCTAATAAGAGAAAACACCATTAGACTAGTACACATTGTATTATTGACTACAGAATCAGTAAATTATTATACTTAAAAAAAATTTATTTAAAAATAATATTATATATTTTTAAAATATTCATATATATGTAAATGACTTTAATACTATATACTAGCTGTTTATTTGTTATTGTTTGTAATCGCGTGCACTTCTTATTCTATCTCCTGAGCGACGGAGCCATTCTTGTATGGCGATTTCTAGCTCTGCAGACGTTGAACCTGGCAACCGTTTCATTACCGAATCTGAAATACATATATTAAAAATTGTATTAATAAAAATAAAAATATTAAATATAATATTTTAACCAATTAAATATAAATTATTAAATATTTTAACCAATTAAATATAAAGCAATAGGTTTGTTTTATGGTGACTTATACAATTTCCACTTTAAAGAAAAGTTCAGATTTTCATTGGATGGTAAAAATACTAATCAATGAGAACTTGCACTTTTCGTAAAAGTGGAAAAATGGGGAACCAAGGCTAAAATTAACTATCAGTACTGGGGGTCAATTGTGTGTTTTGAAATGAGATTAAAATTATAAAAGTGAATAAATTAATTCACTAGAATATTTATAATTTTATTAATTAACGCCTAGTAAATTTGTTCACTTTTGTAATTTTTACTTCTTTTCAAGATGCATGTAATTAACCGACCCCTAGAAAACATTGTTTTACCTCTGTCAAAATCATATGGTGTTGAAAAAGAAATGATATTATCAGTACTGCCTGCAATTAATTTCGGAATAATATGCCCCAAAATAACCTAATATGTGCTTTTAGATTTAAAGGCCTCGCCTCTTATTTGATTATCGCACCTCTTTCTTTTTAATCCCAATTAAACATAGCCGTAAGAAATTGATGAATCGTAATCGAATTTGAAGAGAATAATCGATTACGATTGGTCAATTTCTTACGGCTTAAGGCTTACTACATCTATTGTGTTTCAGGACTATTATTTGGGATTAAAGATAAGATAGGAATTTGGTAAGGTTTAAAAATGTGTTATGTGTGTTAGGGTACGGACAAGATAATGCTACAAATGCTTTGAAGCATTTTCTGATTGATCAATTTATAAAATTCTTGTTCTGATTGGTCAATCAAATACTTCAAAGCATTTGTAGCATTATCTTGACCGTACCTTTAAGGTCCATCTACAATGAAAGTAGTGAATCGTAAGAAATTGACCAATCATAGTCGATTATTCTTCTCATATTCGACTGTGATGGATCAATTTCTTACGGCTTATGACTTACTTTATTACTCTCATTGTAGATGGACCTTTAGTTGGACATTTATCTGATGTCAGAAGCAGTAGACATTTGACAAACAACTCCAATTTTGAATGTAATCTTTGCAATTATGTAAAGCACAAAATTGTACTTGTTAAAAATATTCGCAAACTGTAGGGGTCTTTATACTTTGATATATAATATTTGTTTTGTTGATCGGTATTTTGTAATAACATTTACAAAAAATTTTATGCACGGCTGCGTGCAAAATGCTTTAATGTTTCTAACCTCACAAAAATGTTTTAAACTTTGTTGTTATAGGAAAGTATAATAGGTATAATGGAATAAATGTTACCGATTATTAATTTGGAAATGGATGTGGATTTAAATCCAACAGCACTCTTCTGTCCTATCCAGGATATTTGAGTGCCTAACTCATTACAGATTATTTGTGGTAAAGTATTTTTAATGAACTGTTTACCCGTCGAACCTCCAATTCGACATATCATGTGTTCCTGTAATGTATAATCACGAAAAGTGTACATAAATGGAATATTACAAGTGGAACAAACGTACATACAACTGCAAAATGAAATACACGTGTTTTAAAACGTGTTCAAATGATGGCATTATTTTGGTTGTACCATACATTTTTTTATTTGATTTTAGCATTTAAAAATTTTTATTTGTATTTTGTCATATTATACTTTGAAATTATATCAAATTCTTTTCAATAATATATACTTAATATAAAATTACCAAATTCAATACATATAGATAAAAGAAAGTTCTTGATAATACACGAGAAATTAAATATGACGAAATTCAAAAGTTATAATTGATAGCGATCAGTAAATTTTTGAGAAAACACAATTTTCCTAACAGGCAGTACATACAAGCATTAAAAGTAATATTTAATAAATATAATAGTATGAATATACTTACAAATTGTTTTCTCATGTCAGTATCTATTTTTAACTGATTTTCGCACTGATAAAACTGTTGAAGCGTCATCAGAGGCAACGGAGGTAACAGGTCTTCTGCTACTATCTCATTGCCTCGGCCACGTACTCCGTTTTCCTCTTTTAGCAGAGCTTCAATAGCGTACATTTGTCTGGACAATCTTTTCAGTTCCTTGCGAATGTAGTCTCTGCATTCATCTGTAATAATGTAAAAAATTGAAACATTAAAAAGTGAAATATTAATAACTGTATTAATATTTTAATAAAGTGAAAGTTATCTGTTATCACGTTAACCATTACAGGCATCAGCTATTATTTTGTATTATTTATCATTACAGGAATAAGAGTGAATTTGTGATGCGCATTTACTTAAAACAATTTATGTATTATATAAGCTTTTGAATTGCACATATTTCAATTTAAAAATAATATAAAATATAAATACAATATAAAAATATAATATTAAGAAAGAGACAAAAACTATTAACAAATTAGTAACGTTCCTCTGTAAAAAGTTATTTGCTTACCACAGCAATTGTTATGATTCCTCGTTGAGGGTTGATTTTTTATGACATTGAATTGTGATGAACCAGGTGAGTCTGAAAATGAAATATTTTATTAATATGTATACTACATATAGAACTTATTATTTTACACATACTTGATGTGTACTCATGTAAATAGTAGTCTTTTCCTTTTTCAGTATTAGAACAAAATGTTTATTACCAACAAATTAATATGTTGTAAAGCTGAGCCTTAAAGTCCTAGAAGTTAATGATTTTATTGGTATTTTTCTTTTGAAAGTACAAATCAGTATAGAAGCAGGGATGCCACGAAAACCTTTAACAGCCACTGGCTGCAAGTGGAGGGAGTAGGCTGGCAGCTGCGATGGCTTAGGTTGGCTGATGACGGCTGCAGCCTACCCTCTCCACTTGCAGCCAGTGGCTGTTAAAGGTTTTCCTGGCATCCCTGTATAGAAGATGTGTGCTCATTAGAATAAACGGACTGATCTAATGAGCTTCCAGCATACTCAATTTGTGCTGATTTATGCTGTCAAAAAGAAAATATCCTTTGAAAAAAGAATTTTTCTTAACTTCTTCAATTGCTTAAATTTAGTAAGGGAATTTTAATAAACTTATATAAGATCAAATTTTAGTATTAAATGTAAGCATTTGGAAATGCTGTTAAAAGTCCTTATTATAATTTACTTTTATTTCTATTTAGCAATATCAGAAACAACAATATATAGATTGCAATTGTAAATTTTAAAGGTAGACCTAAAAGTCTACTTTTTTCCTAGTAGTTCTTGACATTGTGTATATGTTGATATAAGCTGTAGGATTGTGGACATAGAGTTTAATACCTTGCATATCAGATAGGTGACATTCGTCATGCGGCTCCTGATAATGATCTGTTGGCTTGGCCCTCCGAGTGCTGTTGGATAAGATGCTGGGTGATTTCATTGTAGACAAGTATTGCCTTTCTATAAAAAAGAAATTTAAATTAAGTTACAAATAAGAATTCCAGGTACATATATGGCTGCTTTAATAAAATCAAATAATATTTTTCATACTATTGGAATCGTTGATCCGTTTCGGAGTAGAGTCTACTACAATACAAACAATTATATACAATTAGTTATACATGATTTAAATTAAATATATTATAAAATAATTTATAGCTTCATATAAACCTACAAGTCTGTTTGTAGTCTGATGAGAATGCACGCTTACTATCCACTTGCGATTGTGATGCTTTGGTCGTTCCACCTCCACATCGTTCCTTCGATATGTAGGAACATTTTGGTAGGGGTAATAACGAAGTTTTTATCGGTGTATCTTTTGCTAAAAATTAAAATAAAGATAACAATAGTATCATAAATAAAAATATAAGATTAACTCGTGTGAAGCAACTTTAATCTATTACATTACAAGTAGTAGTTATATTTTTAAATATTGTTTTTATATAGAGAATTGTAAATGATTTCTTACCTTTACGTTGTTTGGACATTAATGACGTATTAGCTGCAATACAGAAATTGATGTATTAATAAAATTGCAAATATCAAATAATAAAAAAGTGATTTTTTTCTTAACTTACGGGAACTATCATTGGAGGTATCAGAGTCATCGAAAGAGAGTTTTCGGGCTTTTTTCGGCCGTTTGGATGGCTCGTCAAATGCAGCACGCATGGTATCAGTGTCAGCATCCGATGAAATATATGCTGATTTCTTCTCGATTTTCCGAGCTTCTTCAAAGGTATCTGTTTTACAATAATACAATGTAACACACAATAAATGTGTGTATA